GAATTTTGAATGGCTACTACTGTATGTTGATATGTTTGCTTGAGGGTGAAGATATGCTTTAAAGATAACTACTTTAAAATACTTTACTTTACCCACTTTACTTTTGAGTTAAATAAATAAAAACACATTAGTTTGAAATCTAAATGCATCAGTAGAGATGCAAAGGTAGAAATAAATTACAAATCACATAGTGTCTTCAAGTCCTAAAATATCTGGTGCTGCTCACCTGTGCGTGGTTTTTTTTTTTTTTTGCTGCTGCATGGCACTGTCAGCTATGATGGTGGCGGCTCTGCGAGCGAAACCCTTCCAACACATATAGAGCTGTGCCCTAAACTTCAGCTCTGCAGTTTGATGACAGCTGATGTTCTTTTGACGATGTGTCGTATCTCAACAATTGTGACTGAAATATATTTGTGGAAACATCAGATTCTTCACTACTGTTTGTATTTTAACGGTATTTTTCTAACAGCTGCTTCTTTCAGCAGCATAACTGTTATTTCAACGGTGTTCTATCAGTTTTATTCTTACATGCATATATATATATCAAATAAGGGTAAATTAATTGATGCCACAAGCACTTAAAAGTACATATAACTGGTCACCTGGATCAGTGAGACAGTGAACAACAATCCTTTTAATCTAAAAACATCTCAACAATGTTAATATTGTGCTAAGTATCTTTTTTCTAACTGCTTTTTTTTTCTAAGGATGGTGTCTACTGAAGTCCATAGGCTGATATATAAAAAATAATCAGACTTTCCTTTGGATTCCATATCTACAGTACATTTGACCGTCTTTACCCTTAATTTATTAAGACTATTGGATCGAAGTTAGAACTGACTTTGATTCTGACTTTGCTGCTTTTTTTCCTCAATCACTTTTAAAATATAGATTTGTAGCGGGAGAAACTGCAGTTAAATACTTCTCATTCCAGTTGGGACCCTTACACTTATAAAAAGGGAGCAAAGGTTCACATCTGAGTGTTCAGTTTAATTATGCAGGCATTTGGTGAATGTATCATGTATCATCCTAAAATGCTTAATCATCCCTATAACTTTGCGTTGCTGTTTATGCATTAGGCATGCATAACTCCCCCAAGTTGTAAACAAGTACAAGTTGTTTATGCAGAACAGTGTTGTTCTGTTGTTATCCCCCTGCTGTTAGCTTGACCTGCAAACTGACTCCCCCAACATTCAGGAATATTTTCAATCAGAGGCTGAAAATACATTCTCAATGAGTAAACATATTTACAGATTTAATTTGGCAGCTAAAGTATTTTTTCTATGGTAAATTACATGCAGGTGAAAATAGTAAATTATGAGGTTTTCACATTTAGGAAGAGGCAGCTCATCCTGAGGAAAGTTCTGTAAGGTGATGACAGTTGTGGGCCTTCGTGTCAGTGTTATAGGCGGACCTACTGTGCTACTTCCCTTTATCTGGGCTTAGAAATGGACGTCTGGTGCCCACTCTGGTGCCCTGCTAACCCACTTGCCTTGATGTTGAGTTCAGTTGACAGAAGACCTAAGAAGAGTGTTTCACACATGCTGAGTGAAGCCAAACCAAAGTAAGCCTTGTTCCACTGGGCTGCTGTGGTTAGGGGTTAGACATCACAAATTATCTGGGCCATCGCCTTGTAATTCAGTGCAGAAATAGTTTGCCTCATGGTGTGAAAATGGTACAAGAAAGCACTTCGCTGACCTAAATAATCTGCAGCTTTGTCCTGAATCACATCCGCCACCAGCTAAAACCTGCGAGCGGATGTCCAGACACAACACACGGATATTCATTTCCTTCTAATTGACTCTCACAGAAAAGCCAGTTCAGTCATTTAACATAAAAAGCCTTCAAAGGCTGCTCTGAAGGGTTCCCGTGGGAGTTTTTTTCAGAGTTTCAAAGCAGTAAAAAAAGGACTTCATATTGAGTGTCATTTTATCACACAGAAATCAGGGAGGTATCCTCAACATTTCTGCTCGCACACTTTCCCGGATAAACATACAAGAGCTTCTATCACCTCAATCTGCTTGAGATTCCCAGACAGTTCAGTTTCACACAAAGCTGCTGAGGCTTTGATTTCTCCTGGTGAAGCACATGTGAGCAAGACATGTCACCAGTATTGGATAGTATTCTTACCCCGTAAAAGGTTTAAGATTCTATCCCAGTGCACCCATATTTCTGTGATTTCTGGTAGGATTTTTAACTGAATACACTGATCAGTGTATATGGCATACTTATCCAACTGAAAAGCAAAAAGGACACTGGGGAAAAAGAAGGTATGTTCTCATCAACAACATATACCTTCTATCTTTTCAGGAGAATCAGGGAAGCTGATTAAAGGTAGTTTAAAGATTGATTCAGTTAAGTCGAGGGCAATCCTGGAAGGAAACCTCTTAAGGGCGTTAAATATCTTCAGTCTGCTGTGGAGGTTCCCCTTCCAGAAGGACATAGGCCATAAGTATACAACAAGAAATAAAATGAAAGTAATTAGGATAAAGCATATCCAAGAGGTAAAACTACCAAATCAAAGCCCAGACTGAGACAAATCTTTTAATTATGGCATTCGTTACCATGAGTAATCCCAGATCCTTCCTCCCAGCAGCTGTAAGACTCTATAACCATCACTGTTCCCAACTACCTTGATAAGTTGTTAGATTCATGCTGATTTTTGCACAGTTTCTGTCTTAGTCCCTTAAATAACATGCTGCTCTTATTTTTGCACATCTCTGGTGTTTGCTGCTATTTTCAAATATACATTACTGTAAAAATGTCCACAGCTGTATATTGATTATTTATTCTCCAGATGCACAGTATTATATTGTAAAAACTCTGTGGTGAATAGTATTTTATTTGTTTTCTTAAATCTGTCCTTATGCTGTTACTTGTATACAGTCTTTTTAAGGTCCACATTTGTGTGACCACTTTTGCTATAATATTTTGCTGCTGTAACACCACAATTTCACCATTGTGGAAAAATAATGGATTCTATTCTACTCTATTTAGATTTAGTTTTCAAGCAGAGCCTAGATTGCTATGTATTTTAAAATCTTGGTTTTAAACTAAAGGAGATAGTTTGCATTTTAACCCTAAAAGTTGCTATACAAATAGAATATTTCTTAATTCTCCTAGATAAATACCCAAAAGAGAAGCAGCTGTAACTAAATGGTAGTACTGAATACAGGTGCACACCAGTTTTTAAGTACATTTTTAAGCATCCATTTTCCATCTTCTAACACGCTTAATCCCAAGTGGGGTCGTGAGGGGTGCTGGTGCGTATTTCTAGCAGTCAATGGGCGAGAGGCGGTGTACACCCTGGACAGGTCGCCAGTCCATCGCAGGGCAACACAGAGACACACAGGACATACAACTATTCACACACACACTCACACCTAAGGAGAATTTAGAGAAGCCAATTAACCTAAAAGTCATGTTTCTGGACTGTGGGAGAACATGCAAACTCCATGCAGAAAGACCCTGGGCCAGGATTCAGACAAAACGTTCGATAGATATAAAGGCATGACTAAATGACATCATAGTTTTATCCAAAGCAGATTTTTACAGAACTTGTATTATTAGAGAAGAAACATGATGCAAGTGGAGAAACAATCCAGGGACGAATGTGTCATCAACTGAAAATAAAGTGTGAACTAGTTTTCACACATTGTGCACAACAAGCATTTGCCACAGTGCACATAGTAGGCACAGGCTGGGGCAGCAGAGAAATCTCTCACATCTCTCTCAGATCCTGAGAGCCAGGCACAGACATGGACTCATCAAACGACTTTTCGATTATGTTACGTAAGATGCTCCTACTTCTCCTGCTGCTACAACGGCATTTGTGGGTCAAGGAAGCCAACAGCAATGACACACAGCCTAGTTATCATTCACCGTTAAATCACTCATCATGTCTCCAGATCCCTGCATTTTAATATGCTGCCATCATCTACTCTGGCCCGGTTTGTAAAGTCGGTCAGCAGCACAAATGCAGAAGTGGTGTAGCAGCACCGACTGGTGGCAACTGCTAAGCATGGCATGTTTTTTTTCCCTTATTTGCCTGAGGCAGATTCTGCCAAATCAGGGTGAAAGGGAGAAGGTGTCATTCTATGGGGTAAAATTATGGATGTGTCACAGACAGAATGTGTCATGGCTTTAAGAAACACCTGCTTCTGTGAATTTAATAAAATAATTTATGTTCCCATGTTTTAATTTGTTGCAAATTTGTAGATTTTCTGCCGAGGTTCAAGAGGGGAAATATGTCATGAGCAGAATAACTGTGGACCTGTTTCCAATCCTCTGAGACCCATTATACATCTGAAGTGATTTATTTTTGTTTTCCTACAATTGATTGCTCTCTGCTTTACCAGGAATCCTAAATAATCCCTTGTCAATGCAAAAAAAAAAATATGCTGAAGTTTGATATTAGGATTTTTTGTGTATATATCAGTGTTTTTCTTTAGACTTTTTACTGGCCTCTGTGCGGTAACACCCACGCATGTCCTAATAGATTCCTCCTCTTTGGTCCATCAGAGTGTGCACTGCCTGTACTAAAGTGTGGCATGCTTTTCCCACTTTACCTTGTTTCCCCCCCTCCCCCTTGTTATTCGACCCCCTGTTCCCCCTCGCTGTCTCTGAGATTTGTACACTGCTGCCGTGGAAGGCCTTAAAAGCCTTAAAAGCTTCCACCGTAGGAGTTGAGTCTGGGCTGTCCATTTGACCCAGACTGCTTTTGGAACAACTCAACTGCAGTCGTTGAACTTTGGCTCTGCTGTGGAAAGAAAGCCTATGTCTGAATGCTGTAAAAATGAAAGGGCCCGAGCACACACACATAAAAACACACCAAGAAACATAGGGAACTTTTTGAAAGTCAAGCTTGGCTTTTAAAGCTCTGAGTTCTGAAAGACTGGCAGCCTGTTTCTAATCCCTTTCCCACTTTTTTGTTTCTCTTCCTTTCTCTCCTCCACCTCCCTCCTTTTCCTTCCTTCTCTACCTGTCTTTGTGTCTTGCAGGAGAATTCTGGGGAGATCTCATGCTCTTTTATTCCTCAAGGATGAAGCAGCAGTGAACCTTTGTGTTGAAGCAAGGTAAGCACTGATCATGGTGTCCCTAAAATAGAAATGTGCATGCAATATTTATCAGCTTTCACACTCAAATGCATATTTTTTATGTTCCCCGTTATTACACAAAGGGAATGCACTTTTGTTATATATTTAGTTGTATTCTTTTACAAAAAAAGTGGATTTAGACTGTAACGGATTAAATTATTCAATTTCTTTTGCTTAAAGCTGAAAACCATCAATCAGTCCTAACAATACAATTATAATCCTACACATTTACCATCCTTATTGATAATAATCTTGTCTATACAACCTATTATTGTTCAAAATACACTGAAAATAAGTGTTAGAATAAACACCTGTTACCTGCTTGGGTAGTTTTATATAGAGTTGCTCTTTAGAGAGCATCATAATCTAACAAAGTAATGATAGCTGGTTAGACAGACTATCTGTTTGCAACTCCCCAACAGTTGTTTGAAATCAGCAATACCCTGCAATTGACTGCTCAGACTTAGACAACTTTTATTCTGATTTTGTATACACAGACTGTATACAAAATTAAATTCCGTTTTGTACAGCTTTCATGACATTTATTTCATGAACTTTCTTGAAGTACAGTGATCAGATGTTAACAGGTGGCCTTTAGATCTTAAAATAGCAGATTAGTACTTTTCAAGATGAGCCTAAGGTGAACTTTCTGATTATTAAATATAAACTAATGCATTTTTTTCCTAAAATCCAGATCTGTTCACTATTTAAAATATTATGCCTTGATTTGTTTGTTAACAACCATAATCCAATGCCACCTGCTTTTTATTCTGCTACTTGTCTGCATGCTAGAGGCCTGTTTCACAAATATTGTTACTGCAAACAAATCTCATAATCCTGTGTTTGCATGTAAGGCAGATCATTTAACTTGACCCCTCCGTCTACCCTCAAGTGTTTGTATTTAACAAAACAATTGAAAATTTGACTGAACAGCTAGCATACAGGATTGAGTCAGTTTTGGGCCTATGATTAGTATTGAAGCTGCACATCAAATATAAATAATATGAGTTTAATTTAACTGTTTTATATGGGATGTATGTATATTTAAAAAATGATTTGCTGGTGGCCAGATAGTGGTGAAATCTAAAAATTAGTATACAAGTCCAATGTTGTGATGTTGTTTATCTGGAAATATGGCCCCAAGTTAAATTCTCTTATTTAATGTTTTCCCGGCTAAGAGTACAGAAAAGTGAGTAACATATTCTGTTTTTAAGTCAATTAATTCCTGGCTCTTTAGTGCAGTTTGAAAGTGTGAACCAAATGCACCAAAAATAAGACATTTTAAATTGTGTCTGGTCCAGGAGTACAAAAAATCTTGTGGACATGTTTGATCTGAGACGCCAACGAACGGGGTAGAAACACGGAGGAGGACTTTATTCTCAGGAACAGAGAGTGAATGAGGACGCTGTGGACAGGATTAAAGTTTAACCAAACATCCCCAGTCCCCAGGAGAGGCAAATCTGCTGCCGTCCGCAGTGGACAGCAAGAAAAGACATGCAAAGAGACAAGACAAGACGGAGCGGCAATCCCCAGCTGTCGTTAAAAACTGCTGCCTCTGATACATTATTGAATATGTGCCTCTTCAACGCATCGCTGAGCCTTCCTCTCGTGTTAGTGTTCAAGTTTGCATAGCGTCACCATGCTAAAAATAAAGCATTCGCTCATCCTTTTTCACTCTGCTAAAAAATGCAAAGGGTGCATGAGGCTGGTGTGTGTTTTTCTAAATGCAACTTTCCTCTTTGCCAGCATCAGAGCAACTTTGCCTTGATGCTGGCTGGAATTAGAGTTTGAGTTTTGCTCATATTTGCTACAAAAGCAACTGAAGAACAAAAACAAGAAAGACTTAGATTTGATTAAACTCTTTGAAAGTATTTTTGAATGAGGAGGATTTTGAGGCATGCCGATTGCTTCAGAGGGAGTCCTCTTTACTGTACTCAGAAGGCACAGGGGATTATATCGGAATCAAAAAGCAAGTTAAATATCAAATCTTAGTCTTTCTGATGCACAGCTCATTCTTTTTAATCTTTTGTAGAATTGATCTGTCCTTAGACTTTATGTTTGTGGAGTACCATGTTTTATCTACAGGTGGCAGCAGAGTAACATACCTAATAGAAGCTCACTGAAGCGGCCCCTTCTGAATAGATAGGACCTATATAGGCCGCCCATCTATTTTCCTTTCATTCCCATCACTGCATGTTTTTAACAAACTATTTTTGCAGGAAGGACAGAGAAAGCACCAGATGGTGTATATTTTCTGATGAGTATTGAATTGTCCAAACAGATCTGTTTCTTTTCTCTTATAGCTACCACTTTCAAACTTCAGTGTCAAGGATGAAACATGAGCAAAGGTATGCTTATCTTTTGTCTCTCTGGTCTGTGTGCAAAGACATTGAGGGAGCTGTTGTATGCAGTTAGGAGGTTTGGAGGCGTGCGTCTCCGTCCTCTGACTGATGTTGCAGTGACATGATCGGCTTGACTGCTAGTAGCTCTTTGTGAGGTTGCTATAGTGACTGAGGGTTGAGTGTTGGGGAGACCGGAGAGGAATCCGAGGGTGCAGAGGGGGCGGAATAGGAAATGAAGTGCCTGATGCCTCTGGCCTGTGACGCTCGTTTCTGTGTGTGTCTGTACATTTGTTAGAGAATGGATGTGATATGTGTTTATCTGCAGAGGGAATCCAGTTGTTGAGTGCCACTCACCTGTGTAATTGGTAAATTGATGAAGATAACTGAAAATGCACTCAGGCAGTGAGACAAAGGTAAAAACTCTGCCACTAAGGTGTAGAAAGTGTGATGGCGAATGTGTGGACTGAAGGTAAACCGGTTTGGACACACACACACAATATGTACCTCTATGCTTACAGGGACTTTCCATTAGTTTTTGATTGCTTAACCCAGAGCCTTTCCCTAGCCATTGCCAACATATAAACCTTAAACCCTAAAGCTTACCTAAACTCTATTCAGACCTTAGACTTAAACTTAACCCCCAACCCAATAAAAGAGCTTTTGCTCATGGAGACTCATTGACTTGTCCTCACAAGTACCTGTACTTGAGAGGACATGTCCCCACAAAGTAGCATGTACCTGGGAAGTTGGCTTTATTCTGTCCCCAGAAGCTTGGCAGAAAATGTATAACATCCCCGTGTCTCTTGTTGAAATTTAACTTAATCAGCAAAAAAATATTCAAATGACATATTAGAGAACTGTTTATATATATATATATATATATATATATATATATATATATATATATATATATATATATATATATATATATATATATATATATATATATATATATATATATATAAAAGAGAGAACAGTTTATTATTTGAAAGACTAGAATAAATAAATCTGATCAGAGCAAGACATTCAAGGAAAAATAGAAATTGTAACAGGGTTTTAACCAAAATTTTTCTTCTTTCTTAGTTGCTTCTTTGCTGATTGAGCCAACTCCTTTTTCTTTTAATCTTACCTCCTCCTTGGGAGGTGACGTTCATGTGTTCAAAGCACTTTTCCAATGGATATGTGCAAATAAAATACAGTTGTGCTTGAAAGTTTGAATACCCTCCCATTAATGAAAATGCTAAATTCCCAATCAAATAACACATAACTGAAATTTCTAATTTAGTCAATAAAAATAATTTAGTCAAAAAACAAAATTGTCCCAGATAAATCGAAGTACCTTGTTCATTAACAGTGAACCAACACACACAAACACACACACACACACACATATATATACATATATATATATATATATATATATATATATATATATATATATACAGGTGCTGGTCATAAAATTAGAATATCATGAAAAAGTAGATTGATTTCAGTAATTCCATTTAAAAAGTGAAACTTGTATATTATATTCATACATTACATACAAACTCATATATTTCAGATGTTTATTTTGTTTAATTTTGATGATTACAAATGACAACAAATGAAAATCTCAAATTCATCATATCAGAAAATTAGAATATTGTGAAAAGGTTCAAAATTGATGGCCCCTGGTGCCACACTCTAATCAGCTAATTAACTCAAACCACCTGCAAAAGCCTTTAAATGGTCTTTCAGTCTAGTTCTATAGGCTACACAATCATGGGGAAGACTGCTGACTTGACAGTTGTCCAAAAGACGACCATCGACACCTTGCACAAGGAGGGCAAGACACAAAAGGTCATCGCTAAAGAGGCTGGCTGTTCACAGAGCTCAGTGTCCAAGCACATTAATAGAGAGGCGAAGGGAAGGAAAAGATGTGGTCGAAAAAAGTGTACAAGCAAGAGAGATAACCGCACCCTGGAGAGGATTGTGAAACAAAACCCATTCAAAAATGTGGGGGAGATTCACAAAGAGTGGACTGCAGCTGGAGTGAGTGCTTCAAGAACCACCACACACAGACGTATGAAAGACATGGGTTTCTGCTGTCGCATTCCTTGTGTCAAGCCACTCTTGAACCACAGACAGCGTCAGAAGCGTCTTGCCTGGGCTAAAGAGAAACAGGACTGGACTGCTGGTGAGTGGTCCAAAGTCATGTTCTCTGATGAAAGTAAATTTTGCATTTCCTTTGGAAATCAAGGTCCCAGAGTCTGGAGGAAAAGAAGAGAGGCACTTCATCCACGTTGCTTGAAGTCCAGTGTAAAGTTTCCACAGTCAGTGATGGTTTGGGGTGCCATGTCATCTGCTGGTGTTGGTCCATTGTGTTTTCTGAGGTCCAGGGTCAACGCAGCCACATACCAGGAAGTTTTAGAGCACTTCATGCTTCCTGCAGCTGACCAACTTTTTGGAGATGCAGATTTCATTTTCCAACAGGACTTGGCACCTGCACACAGTGCCAAAGCTACCAGTACCTGGTTGAAGGACCATGGTATCCCTGTTCTTAATTGGCCAGCAAACTCTCCTGACCTTAACCCCATAGAAAATCTATGCGGTATTGTGAAGAAGAAGATGCAATACACCAGACCCAACAATTCAGAAGAGCTAAAAGCCACTATTAGAGCAACCTGGGCTATCATAACACCTGAGCAGTGCCACAGACTGATCGACTCCATGCCACGCCGCATTGCTGCAGTAATACAGGCCAAAGGAGGCCCAACTAAATACTGAGTGCTGTACATGCTCATACTTTTCATGTTCATACTTTTCAGTTGGCCAACATTTCTATAAATCCTTTGTTTTTATTGGTCTTCAGTAATATTCTAATTTTCTGATATGATGAATTTGAGATTTTCATTTGTTGTCATTTGTAATCATCAAAATTAAACAAAATAAACATCTGAAATATATGAGTTTGTATGTAATGTATGAATATAATATACAAGTTTCACTTTTTAAATGGAATTACTGAAATCAATCTACTTTTTCATGATATTCTAATTTTATGACCAGCACCTGTATATATATAGCCTGGGTGCCATTCCGAACTTAGTCCCGCCCACAAGGTTTGAGTTCGGGGAAGTTCGGTCTGGCTCTGCTCCATAGTAGCGCGAGTATTAAAGCCCACTGTCAGGCGATCCAATCAAATTGTCAGGGCGGGCTTTATACGATGATGGACAGATGATCAAGAGTAACGTTATCAACCACGTGACCAATGCGCGCTTGGGTGACAACAATAATGGCTGCCGCTGGAGAGTTTGGGTGAGTAGATTCTGCTATTAGGTCTATTCTAGAAGATATCGACAGCAAATTAATTTTAAAAGAGGAACAGAGAAACGCGATCAAGTCTCATCTTCTTATTCTAGGCGTGAAACTGCACGCTTTGATTTTTGTGGACAACAACTATGCCTCGCTTAAGATACGTCACGCACTCCGTTGCTCTTATTGGTTGTAGGTCTATCCAATTGAGTGCAGAGGCATTTTTTTTCCTGGTTCGTTCAAAACACGCCCCATAATCACAGCTCTATGGAGCAGTATCAGACTCATATTCTGACTAGAATTGAGTCGGACTACGTCAGGCTAGTATCTATATATATATATATATATATAGGATGTTACGCAAGGAACATATATAACAGCTGATGGGCTTATAAAACATGTATCTATTGCTGCAAATTTCAGCGTTCAGTAACAGATTTAAGCATAGCACATCTCTACATTGAAATAGATAGGCAAAAACCTTAAAAAAAGTAAACATTCTATAATGTTTACATATACATTTGCAATAACGTACTTTAACTGTAATATGCAATTACCTTCCACGGCACTTTAATTTAGATAGCTTCTGTCCAAACTTTATTTATTCATATTAAAGACCCATCTGTATATATGCTATTGTACATAACTGTAAAAACCCTTTTTATAGTAATATCCACCTGTATATTATATTTGGTACATATCCGGCTATAAATTTAGTTCATAACACTAGTTATCTATGTATTATATTCATCTATTAGTTAGATTCTGTTTATAATGCTATTCATCTCTATACTTATTCAGTAGAAACCCATGTCCTGTATTTATGGAACCATTATTTATCCTGCTCTTGCTGCTATTGCGCTTCTGGTTAGACATAAACTGCATTTCGTTGCCTTCGTACCTGTACCTGTGTAATGACAATAAAGTTGAATCTAATCTAATCTAATCTAATGATGCCAAAGCAATAAAATTTCTAACATATTTATGATTACTAAGCTTAACTGTCTTCTCCTAGTAAATGCTAACACCTTTAGATATTTTACCTGGCTAGATGATACCAGATGCCAAACAGCATTTTTTGTTAGTTTTTAATTGTGAATGTCATGGCTAACAGAACTATCCACTTTATAGGGACTAAAAAAAGAATCATATCAGCATGACATGGTATAGTGTTGAATCCTCCAAATCCTCAGAGATGGTCCATATGCTCTCGGGTTAATACTTGAGATCACCAGCCTAATTAGGCCGATAATCTAAATTACCATCCTGACAGAGTTTACATTGGATTAACTATAGATCATATTTCAAACATAATCATTTATGTTTTTTATTCTTATTTTCTTAATCTACAGCAAAGTCAACTTTAAATTAGCATCAGGACTTCCTAAAAAAAACTAGCCACCAAAAGAGGCACATTAAAATAGTGTACATCTACTTTAAAGAAAAGCACAAACATATACTTCATAGCACAGATTACACTTTAGGTGCTTTTACAAACTTATTTCAAGTAAATAAACTGTCCTTGTTCTAACACAACCCCAAGCACTTTCTTTTGTCACTGCAGCTTTTCAGCTCATGAAAAGGTTCAGGAATGTTAATAAATCTGGCAATGATGTACCTGAACAGACCAAGGTAGGAGTGAAAGCATGCCCACACATGGGTCACCTGCATCATCCTCTTGATTCCACCTCACAATGAAAGCAAAGCAGTGA